GTGTGTGTGTGTGTGTGTGTGTGTGTGTGTGTGTGTGTGTGTGTGTGTGTGTGTGTTCCAGAGGAGTGTCACTGAGGATAAAGGAGTTGGTCCGTGGCTTCTCGCTCTCTTCATCTTCGTCGTCTGTGGATCAGGTGACTCCTCCTCTTCCTCCAATCACATGATAAATATTAAAATCTAACTCTATCATTTCTTTTTTTAACAGATTAATAGAAATGTTTCCATATCGTCACGTGTTGTGTGTGTAGCCCCGCCCATCACCCGCTGACGTCAGATGAGCGGCGGGGCTTATAGACAGTTGAAATGTCACTGGAGACAGAAACACAAAAGAAGTCACTCATCAGAGACCTGTTAGTGAACAATGATCATTCATCTTATCATCATAATAATAATAATAATGTTTGTTTACAGCCATCTTCCAGATCATCCAGAGCATCAGAATGGGCATGTAATGATGTCACAGGCAGGGGGCGGGGCCAGACGATCAACCCGCCCCCTAACCTGAACCAACCGGAACATTCCTGGCCTCTGACAACCGTCTGCAGCCCACAGACAACCAAACACACCCACAGGCCCTGCCCCCTGGAGCCCTGGACCCGCCCCTTGGACCCCCCTTATCTGTGTTGATTTAAGGCCTCTCTGACCTTCTAAAAGCCTCACATGTGCCTTTCTGTGTTTACCTGTGCTTTAGCCCCGCCCCTTCTGATTCCACCTTATCAGCTCACGGGGGGGGCTCATAGTCCACCTGGTTCAGGACCAACGTTATTCATCCAATCTGGACTCTTTACATTCCAGCTGCAATTCTGATCTGAGATCTGCCCCCCCCATAGAGATGATGAAGGTCTTTTGAATCAGAAGGTTTGAGGTGTAGAAGGTGTGTTTGCACCGTGTGCAGCGTCACCTGATCCATTGTGTTCATTAATAAAGTTTCATTTGAAGAAGGACGCCATGTTTGTTTTTCATGTCTTAACGATTGGTACATCCCAAGTCTCTTATCTGTCGTTTCCTCACTTGAACCGGAAGTTGTTCTGCGCCGCCATATTGACGGCCGTCCCAAAGCTCTAATGTAGCTCTGAGGATGGAGGAGGGACCTCAGAGGAGCCATGAGCGAGGACCCACGAGAACAGAGTTCCAGGAAGTCTTTTAACGGCCGACACGCCCCCTCATTGTTCATCAGTCATGTGATTGGATGCTGCAGCCGATTGAACTGACTGACTGACTGAGTTTAACACCAGAGTGAAGACAGATCACAGAATAAACTCCAGTTTATATTTGATTCGTTTTCTGATTCAACATCTGGTTTAAATAAATGTTCATTGTACTCTGAACAACAAAAGGACCATAAACAACTTTCTACATTTATTAGAAAGATTTGTGTTTTCATGATCTGATGTTTCCCTCAATAACTTTAATATGGAAACAATTAAAGTCAGAGAGAGCTGAGAGACGAAACACTTTTTACATCATTCCTGAGTGTTTGATGAGTTTTATCATTTAAGAGAAACAATAATCATATTCTGGGTTATTTAATAATGACGTCACAGTCACAATTTCAAAACGTACAGACGCAAATAATTCATAAATAAGACGATCGCATTCTGCGGTAGAAATGGATCCTGTGCTTATAAACAGAACACAGGACACAGTTTAACAGACTACAGAGAGAAACACCTCTACAGTGGTGATCACTGTGTCTTTATTAGTATTATTAGTTACTGTTATTAAGTACAGTGATCATGTGAACACACACTAACTTATCTAAAGTCTCTCCAGCTGTTAAAGCCGACTGACAGCTGATCAGCTGTGATCAGCTGTGATCAGCTGTGATCAGCTGTGATCAGCTGTGATCAGCTGATCCTCCGTCATCAGGAACAGACGTCGCTTCACGTGAGCAACTGAGGAAAGGACGTCATGTCCTAAAACATATTTCCTCGTTTCCTCTCTCCTTGCATGGTTTCCTCCATGCATCCCTGGTGGGAGGGGCTAAGACGCAAGGAAAGGACCCAAGTGAGGGAAACGGGGATGACATTAAGAGACTTGGGATGTACCTTTTATTGTTAATAAATCTACTACATGTAGTACTGGGTACATGTAGTACACTGGGTACACGTAGTACTATGTAGTACTACGTGTACCCAGTAATACATAGTACTACATTAAATTACTTCTTTGCGATTTCAATAATCAAACATTTCATTGTCTCCTTGATCAGAAGCAGCATGTCCAGTAACCACTAGGTGGTGCTGTTTAGATATAATTTGTATTTATTTTTTAATCTAATTTACATTTATTAAAAATGTTAAATATCTCATTACTATTAAATATTAAATTTACATTGTGACAGAAATAATAAATATGTAAAAAGGTACACTTTAATGTTAATATACACGTATACTCAAAACATTTTATTATATCATTATAATAAGATGAAATACACAATACTTTAAACCAGGATTATTTATTAGACATTCTATTAATACTAATACTAATAATTAATACTATTTCAATGTGATTAAAGCAATAACTGCAGTGACATTAATAAATATGTAATAACAGCTTTATAACACTGTTACCTCAACACAATAAAATGTACGGTGGCCCTGAGGGTCAAACTGTAAAAGGTAGATATGTATTAATAATAAACGAGCTGCTGTGGTCACATTTACAGAATATGTACCTTATTTATTTTACTTAATTATTGATGTTGTATTTCATTATGAGGACATGACATTATGCTAAGATTTCTATACTTAAAAGAGGTCCTGCAGGATTAGGAGGACATGACGTCATGCCTTGAGGATTACAAGGACAGGTGTCCTTAACCATCTGGTCTCAGAGCTTTTGGAAAAAATCTATGTGTTGAACAAACCACCAGAAATCATGTAAAAAGATCCAAACATGTTCTGAACTTCCTGCTTTGAGATCAGAAGACATTGAACATCTGATGTTCTGCAGCTCCACAGATCCAAACGTATCGATCTGTCATTCTACAAAAGTTAAAACCAGCACCTCCCTTCATCTCGTTATTCATGGTTTTGTCCTCAGCTGTTGGAGGGCGGGTCTGGCTTCAGTCGGATGGACCAGGAGTTGGCGGACACGATGTCTCCCCGGCGGTGGACGCAACAGGTGTAAACGCCCTCGTTGAACTCGTTGGCGACGATGCGGAGGTCTCGGTCCTTCATGACGATGTAACCGGGTATGGAGGTCAAGATCTGCTCGCCGTCTTTATACCAGCTGAAGAAAACAGAGCCGCAAAGACAAGAGATGGAAGTGATGGTTTAGGTTTCAGAATCTTGGAAAGTTATTTTCTTTCCCCATGAACTTTCCTCCACTGATGGTGAGACTCTAAAGCCACAATTCCACCTGGCGTGGTTTAGTTCCTACTATACTACTGCTCCACTGTTTCCACTGCACCACTGCTCCTACTGTCTCACTGTCTCACTGTTCCTACAGGAGAAATGAGTTCATAAATTCTACATTCAGACATAAGTATCTTGTTGTCTCCAGAGCTTTTAGTCACATCTCATGATCTTCCTCGTGGGTGGAGTTGCTCAGTTGTCATGGACACATGACCTCAGTACGAGACCTTCAGGGTTACCTAGCAACGGGCCTCCTCAGGTCATGTGATAACTAAAGCTTCGCCATGACAACTGGGCAACTCCATGGGAAGACCATGAGATGTGGTTGAAAGCTCTGGAAACAAGTAAGAGTGTGTTTGTCAAAGCTGAAGAACAAAGTTGATCAGGGTTCATGTCTCTAGTAGTCAGTAGACTGTTATTGACTGTTATTGATCATCAATTCATTTTCATTGAAGTAGTAAAAAGAATAAAATGTTTGTATTTTCTGTTCACAAATCATCTGTCGACGTAAACTTGATACATTTGATCTCTTTGATGTAGTTTTATAAACTGAATAATGGAGTAGATAATCATTAGTATTAGTGTTGATCAACTGACCTGACTTTGGGCGGTAAGCGGACGTTCTTGGTTCCACAGCGGAACCCGACCACCTTCCCTCGAGGAACCATCTTGATCTTGACGTTGGCCGGAGGTGGCGTCGGCGTGGCAACCGCCTCCAAAGGCTCTGGAAGACAGGAAGTGAGATTCAAACCAGAGACAAGAGACGGACCTCAGAGAGAGAATCAGGGTTGAGTTTCACCGTAACAGAGATCACATCTCTGAGGACAGTTCTTCTTCATGAAGGTTCTCCTCCGCTCACAGAAACCCAGACGAGCCCACGGACCACAGACCCGCTTCTTATCCAGACAACCTGTGGACGGACAGTAAGTATCACAACCTGTACTGTGGTACAAGTACTACAGGAAGTATCACAGCCTGTACTATAAGTACAGGCTATAAGTGGTATAGCAAGTATCACATCCTTTACTATGGTAAGAGTACTGCAGAAAGTATTCACATCCTTTGAAAGTACTGCAGAAAGTATTCACATGTATTTACAGAGTTTCCACAACATGAATTCAGAAATGGTTCTTTAATAACATTGTGTTTCTGATAACATGCAGATACTGAGTGACCTTTATTGTGAAACTCCCATAGGAAGTGCTGGGTGTTACCGTAGAGCCTCTGGATGCCCCACACGTCGTCCTGGGCCACGTTCCTCTGACCCGTGTACGTAGCGTTAGGATGCATCAGAGCCTGAAGGTCTCTGGAGTGCCACAAACCGAGAGCATGACCGATCTCATGAGCCGCCACCTGGACCAGGTCGTTCAGCCACACACCTGTAGAGAGTCACATGATCAACACCTGTAGAGAGTCACATGA